TGAAGTTCATTTTGTGTTAATCTTGGTGATTAACTTTTGATGTGCATAAGCTTGAATTTGGTTTCTTGCAAACTGCGCGGCTACCCTTGTTCGAGATTTGGTGTTTCTCAACTTGGATGTTGAGTTCGTGGTCCTTTTGGAATAAATCGATGCATTCTCATCTCGAGATGGAAATTTAATTGACACATTCCGATCGGGTTCGTTCCAAAAATAATTCTTTCATCTTTTTGTCAACCCTCTTTTGATTTTTCCATTCAATTCATCCATAAATCGAAATATCCCTGGAGTCGTTGGTTGTCTTGGCGAGTTATAGGTGGAACAAGAGCAAGTTTTGGTGTCGTAATTTGAAACAAACTTCCGCAGTTTAGAGTCGCGCTCTGTCGTCTCCTGAGAATTCATACCAGTTCTGCAAGTGAAGCCAGCAATAAGGTAAAGTATCACAATCAACCTTGTCATGCACCAGATAATGAATCGTATCAAGTCTGAATATGGTTATTGTGTCACAGGACCACCCGATGACTGCCTATAGTAGTGTGGAAGAATCTGACGGTCAAGAAAGTGAGAAAGGCTCTGTTGCAGATGGTGAAAGCATTGTTGCCAAGAAGGCGATGTTTGAGACTGGTGGATCCAAGAGTAAGAAAAAATTGAGGGCTGCCAGTTCGTCTACCTAACTGGATTCTGGAAAGAAAACCCCTCCATCGGTGGCAGCACTAATGGCTCGTCTGGAATGGACCAAAGCGGCAGCATATGTTAAATTAGATGTGGTGTCCAGTTCTCCTGACATCCCGTTAGGTGTTGCCCTGCAACAGATTAAAGATTTGTTCCAGCTTCCAACAGAAGAAGTGTATGGTAAAAGTTATGACCAGTTGAGAACATTGTTATCTGCAATTCAAAACTATCTTGTAGATGACAGTATGGCAGGAGCAATTCGTTTGGTGTTAGCGGAAGCAGCCCAGAAGCACATTGAGTGTCAAGTTTGTGTGCCACACATTGAAGAATATCAAAATTCCTACGCCTTGCAAGAAAAGAACAAGATGCTGTCGGAGCAATTCGTCAATCAGGCAATGCAACTGGAAGCCGAAATCAAAAAGACAATGGTTGAAGAAGCGGAGCTCAAGACACAGCTGGGAAAAGTACAAGCCAAGCGATTAGGCCTAGAAGCCAATCTAGGTGTTATAATTGCAAATACTGACATTGCACTTGGCAGATATGGGAGAATGACCGAAACTGTGAACAAGTTGCATCCCAAGTACCAAGATGCTCAAAAGGTTGTGGCTGGAGCTCAGACGAGTTAGAATATCCTGAAAAACACCATTACCCGTCTGATGCAGACCATAGGAACTGCGCCAAATTCTCCTTCTTCCATGGATCAAGTGCATTCAGAGCATCCAGTGGAAGTTCCAACCGGTGGAGAAAGTGTTGCACAAGAAGAAACCCAGCAAGATGTGCCACCAAATGATGAAGAGCCCTTGGTAATTCAGCCCTTGCAAAGCATGCCAGCGTCTCCTCCTACTTAAAACAGTTGTTTCAGTACATTTGATGGTTGTAACCCGTTTTGTTATTGGGTTATTTTGTGTGGTGTTGGTGCTGAAGTGACTTTGTTCCTACACAAAAACAAATTGCTTTTTTTGATTTCGTTAGTAATGAACATGTTTTTACTTCTTAATGATACATGGTATTAGCAATGTCCCTTTCTAGTTGTTGCTCCTCAGTGTTGAGTTGATTCCATGCGGTATCAAAATACTTGCGCAGGAATGTGGCATTTATAGATCTGTACAACTAATCCATCCAGATCTTTCAAAACGTAGACCTCACGTCCTAAATGTCGTATGATATAAGGACCTTCCCAAGTAGGACTCCATTTACCATAAGCGTGATCTTTATACCCCAAGGGCAAAATTGCTTTCCATACCTTGGTACCAACATTAAAATATTTGTATCGAACAAACTTGTTGTAAGCGCGGATAATCCCAGCCTTTTGGTTGATGATGTTAGTGGTTGCTGAATTCCGGCTAATTGACAACCTATCTTGATCAATCTGCATAGCTGTTGTATAGTCGGTTGAATCCAAAGGAAACTGCTGATCAACTCTGAGAGAGGGTACAAGATGCTCAATAGGCAACATGGCGTCATGACCATATACTAATTCATATGGAGTTGCCTTGGTACTACCTCGCTGCGTCACTCGATATGCCCATAATGCTTGGCGCAAAATGTCATGCCATTGTCTAGGATTCTCATAAATTGTTTTTTTTGGATGATTTCTTTCAATATTTTATTGATGGACTCAGCCTGACCATTCCCTTGTGCAAAATACGGGGATGAATGAGTTAGAGTGAAACCCATATCTTTCGCAAACTGCATCATTTCTTGACCCACAAAGTATTGTGCCTGATCCGTAATGATTGTTTCAAGTATTCCAAACCTGTAAATGATATGCTCCTGGAGGAAAAATATAACAGCCTTTTGAACAACATCCTTCAAAGGTACCGCTTCTACCCATTTAGTGAAATAATCAGTTGCGACCAAAACATATCGGTGCCCAGAAGAAGATGGTGGATGAACCATGCCGATAACATCAAGAGCCCAACAACAAAATGGCCATGGTTTAACTATGAAATGCATCGGCTCTGGATGTGTATGAGGGATATCTGCGTGTCTCTGGAAATCTATACATCCTCTGGCAAAGTTATACAATCTTGAGTCATAGTTGGCCAAAAATAACCATGGCGGCGAAACAGCCAAGCCATTTTTCATCCGCCTTGATGTGCGCCACAGAAACCTTCATGTGTTTCCAACATCAACACCGTGTATTCTGGCTTTTCCCAAACATCTAGGAAAAACTTCATCTGTTGTTTTCCGATATAGTTGTCCTTGCACCAAAACATAAATTAGGTGCTTGCCTCCTGATAGATAACGGAGTATGATGTGTTGGTTCCTTTAAGAACGTCATGATTGGTGTACGCCAATCATCTATTGTAATAAATGTTGCAACAAAGAAATCCACTTCTATTGGGTATCGAACATATGCTGGAACATCAAATTCTACCGTGTCGTAGGCAATATCTGGAGGAAGCTACGTTTTAAGATATCTCGAAGCTAGCTGCGCCATGTCATTGGCGTCATCGTTAAATTCTCTCTCAACGTTATAAAATTCAATATGTTGAAATTGAGATTCAAGGATATCACCGACAGCTACATACTTGGACATGATGTCGTCGTTCCTATCTATTAGTTCTTCATCTACCCTACTACTAAAGCAGAATCTCCAATGACTTCGGCATGAGTTGCGCCATTGTACAGACTGACTCGGCTCTAACTAATTTCAAACGATTGCGTGATATTCTCAAAATCCGGAGTCCAACCGTTAGAATTATCTAGAGATGTCAACACCTCCAACTCACAATAAGATTGAAAGTTCAAGTGTTCAATGATGAAATACTGAATAATTTCGAGGAAATGAATAAAACAGCCACTCAAGGCCAGCTTTATTGAATTGATAAGAAACGAATCGGCTGTGAATAGCCAGAAACATTAACGAACTTACAAAAATTAACGCTGAAATGTAAAAGAATACATGAAAGTTTGAAAGAAAACAAACGATCAAAGCTATAAAGGAACTAAGAATATGATTTATGTTTGATGAATTGTGTGTCCTCGGCCGTCTCTCCTTTACAGCTTTTATAGGAGATTCGCCAACCCTAGTTGGAATGCAATCGAAGTTGAATCCAGTAAGGACTTTTGTTGCGGCTGGAATCCTTATCCGACAAGGACTGTGATGTTGGCGACTCATTCTTGAATTCGAATCATTGCCCGCTGCTTCTTCCTTGAATAATGTTAATACGGCGGGTTTTATGATTTTATTTTCTCCATTATTATTGTTGTGATCGGCCCAACTCATGTGGACCAGATTTGTCAAAATCGGTCCAACACCATCCTAAACATTAAGTTTATTCCTAGTTTTGATATTTGTACTATATTCACTAAAAAAAGTTTTGGCTTTATATGGGGTGTGGAAGTTTAATTTTTGCGGACATTCTTTTCAGGCGACGTGAAGGAAGCTCCATGTCTGTTTCTTTTTCCTTCTATCCAAGCAGAGGAGACGTTAAACCATGTAAAGGATTGTAAGATTCGAGTGAGAAGAGAAGAAGATGATGAAATTGTTGACGACAGAGGAATTTTGAGCACGGTGAGGAGAAAATATTTTCTTTGTGGTGGGTTTGAACTCTTTTCCTCTTTTTTTTCTTTTATTTAAAAAAAAATAAAAATAGTAAAACCAAAATGACATCGTTTTGGTGAAGATGGTAATGCCAAAAGAAAAAAAAAAGAAAAATGAAAAGATACGCCCCATTTAGCAAGTTACTGTATTGCCCCTAATTGAAAAGACGGTGTAAGGGATGACTATGCAACCAATCATATTTGAGGAATAAATCGTCCAATAATCAGCTTTTAAATTTTATAGCTCACTCAGACTTTTATCTTTATATATACTATAGATAATATGCTTTCAAATTTATTGATTTGGCGTCATTTCCCTATGAAAATATTCTTTATGATTCTAATAAAACCAATAAACTAATGAATTTTACAAATATATAAATATGTAATAAGGTAGTAAAATGCATTTTTGTCCCATAAAAATAGTTTTATTTTGTTAAACTACAACCTTACAGAAAAGTTTTTTTTTTTTTTTTTTTTTGAGGCAGAAGGAGTAAAGGAAAAAAATGGCACCAATATAATGATTGATGGAAATTAACCCCCGCCCCTCCAATAGTCATCTTCAAGTCAGAAACTTTTTTCTTGTTACCTTACACAGATTGGAATAAGTTAGACGATATTTTCAAAAAAAGAGAAACAGTTAGACAATGGTACATAAACAACAATCTGGATCTACTCTTTATATTTTAATTAAATATGCTTTGTAAGGTGCTTACATATGTATTTAATGATGTGTACCATTATATTACTATACTTTATCTATCTTCTTCCACTTTGCTATATTTGTTACTCAAAAAGCCAATTAAACGCTGCTTAGCTATTTCTAGCTTTCTCTCATGGCTACACTTTCAGATGCATACAAAGTCATTCCCATGACCCTAAAACACATCATTCCACCCGATTTCGAATCCCTAAAACGGGTTCCAGATTCACATGTATGGCCTCAAACAGATGTCGACTTACCTCTCCAAGACGACGACGAAAAACCCGAAAGATCGATACCTGTTATTGATCTCATGGCTCCAAATGCGGTGGAACTCATTGGCCATGCTTGTGAGGATTGGGGAGCTTTTCAGCTTACTAATCATGGGATTTCAACAAACCTAATTGATGAAGTTGAATCTCAAGCTAGGAGACTCTTTGTTCTTCCAACTATTGAGAAATTGAAGGTGTTGAGATCCACTGATGGAATGACTGGCTATGGTGCTTCTAGGATGGCACAGTCTTTTCCAAAGCTTTTGTGGCATGAAGGGTTTACTATTATGGGTTCTCCTCTTCATCATGCTCAACAGCTTTGGCCTCATGATCACCAAGTTTTTTGGTAAGCTTCTCTATATTTATTAATTTTTTTCAATTATTCGATCCCTCACGCATGATTCTGATTGAAATGATGAATAACATGGGTTTGAATTCGGAGTTCAATTGTTCTTTGATCGAGATACTGTTAGAAATCAAGAAAATGGTTCAGTTTTTGAAATAAAAAGTCAACTCTCGTGAAAATTACACATTGCAAGGTGGGAAGGAAAAAATGAAAGAAAAAAGAATATTCATTCTATGTTCAACCGTTGATTAATATTCACACCTTAAATTACAGCCTATAATTTAAAAAATCTTAAGGTCGGTGATACAAATGATGTGTCTATTTGAACATGTCAAGTTTTGGTACTCAAAATAGGGTTATTTTTAGTCGTTTCCGCTATTCTCTTTTTATAAAAATCACTGTTATTATTTCATTTGAGGACACATTAGCTAGATTATAATTTATAAAAATTTAAAACGACTGTAAACCCTACTAAAAAAAGAAATTATCAAAAAGTAAAAAAGCTCTTACTTCTTCCCAACTCAATAAGTAAACGTCAAAAAATCAATAGTTGGATTGAAAAATATGAATCTCAGTTGAAAAACGTTGAGTGCAAAAACTCAGTACGTAGTTTCATAAGTTGGAATGATTTTTTTTTGATACGTAATTGTGTTTGTGTCCATTCAATCACCATAACACAGTACACTGTTTTCACATTACACTTGACTATAACAACAAAACCGTAAGCAATATTATATATGACTAGCTAGCGCCCAGATCCAAAGTCCTTACAAATATTTTATATAAACAAACCAAATGAAAACAAAATGATTATTCAGATTTGAGATCTTACCTCTACGTACATTCATCTTATTAATTAAAAAAGGATTGATTCAATACAAGCAGATGTATTTTCCTTACAATTCAAATTAAAGTATGGTTATAATTATTTGGAAGTATGTGGGGATGGTTAGAACTTTGAAGAAACCATTAACAAATTAACAGGCTCTATGTATCTTTTTTTTTTCTTTTTCTTTTTCTTTTTTTTTTCCATGTAATGTTCTATTCTGCCATTTCCCTTTGAAGTTCCGAAGAGTCGGATTAAGGATAACGCTCACTTGCTTATTTAAGTCAATTAGTTACTCCTAGCTAGCTAGCTAGATGATTCTAATGTTTTTTTATTTTTTCCTTTAACGTAAATATAATATCTATCATGTATATACTGTCACACATTTAGTGAAAAATCATAGTGACGTTATAAGTACAGTAAGACTAATAATACATAGTCGAATTCCTCTGCAGTGATTTGATGGAAAACTATCAAAAGAAGATGAAAGAATTGGCGCACCAACTCTTGCTCGTAATGTTAAAATGGCTACAAGTCTCGGAAGAAGACCTAAAATGGACATTTTCAATGGCTCAAGGATCATTACAACTCAACTCATATCCAGCCTGTCCGAACCCAAAAAGCACAATTGGATTAGCCCCTCATACAGATACAATGCTAGTAACCATTCTTCATCAATCGGATCCGGGTTTGCAGATTTTCAACGGGAAATCCCGGTCGTGGGTCACGGTTTTGCCGGTGGCCGGAGCTCTGGTGGTCAACCTCGGAAACCTTTTGCAAATATTCAGTAATGGGAAGTTCCAAAGTGCAATGCATCGGGCACTTGTGAACCAATATCGGCATAGGATATCAATGGCTTATTTTTATGTGCCACCGGCTGATTCAATGGTCGGACCGTTTGCTAGGTTTGAGCGTCCGGTTTATCGTACTTTGGTACTGAAAGAGTATTTGCAGATTAGACATGAACATCGTGAGGATTCACTTTCGGTTATAAGAATTGATGATGAAGATTGAGTGCTTGTTTGGACATCAACTTATATTTTATTTTGCCACTTAAAAGTAGAAAGTGTTTCAAATTGAAAATTAAATAGAAAATAAAAATGTTGTTTGGATTTTGGTTTTGAAAAAAAATATTTTGAACTACATTTTAAAATATCAAGTATAAGTTATCACTAAACAATTAAATACTATCAATTATAGTCACTGCAAAAAAGAACTTTTCAAAAAACAATCACTCAACAATGGAATTCTATCAAATTTGTCACTGAACTATTTGTAGTTCTAAAGTGGTCATTACACTAATAAAAAGTGTTTCAAGTTAGAATTTACAATGTAAAACAGAAAATTGTTTGGATGATGTTTTCTTTTCCATTGAGTTTTGTGTTAGTTTTGTGTTTAAGAGGTAATACGAGTGAAAATGTAAAATAGAAGGTTGTTCAAACAAGGCCATTTGAGTGATGAAATATTGATTAATTTTTCATTGAAAACCAAATTGATTCTTCTTTCTTCCCCATCCCCCCTCCCCCCTCCTTTTTTCTTTTACGTAAGTTCCGTAATTTTGTTATCCAATGGAGAAACTACACAATGTAATAATTCAGGAAAATTGTCAGAAACAAAATATAGTCCTCTTCCGTGGAAATCAAGAAAACTAACGAGTCACTTTAATGGTCAACCGATTTCGCGTGCAAATTTGGTCATTCGGATATATATTATAGTTTCTATTAACATTATCTTGCCGTTAGTTTTAGGATACGTAGAATGTTAACTGCTTCCTTTATTCCAAAATATATGTTTATGATGACGAACTAATTATCAAGTTAAGTCCTAGTTTTAAACTTGAGGTTGCACAGAGTTCTCCGTCCACGTACTATAACATATTGAAGTTTCCAAAGATTTTGTCTATATTGTACCCAAAAAAAATTACATTCCATTAAAAAAAATGGTAAATTTTATCTTTTAAAAAACAAACTTTAATGTTGTTTTAAGAACATCTCGAATAACTACAATAGACGCAACGACACCTTGGGACAAAATTTTCCACATGATTCAGTATCCAGAGATTAGGTACAGAGCTAGAAACAAAATTAAATTGTGTGAATGTAAAAGTAAAACAAAAAACAAAGCAGGGTTACATCTGCAAATGACATTTTTTTTTTTTTTGAGAAAAACAAAATCTCTTTGAAAAGCACATAATGCCTTAAGTTGTGTTGATGATGGTAAAGGGTAAGAAGAATAAAGAACATTAACTAAGTTGTCGTTTTTCTTTCCCTTCTTTCTTATCTTTCTTTTTTTTTTTTTTTTTTTTTGATTGATCATCGATCAATAACATATTTATGGTTAGTTTATTCAGCATTAAACTGCTAATTTGGCTTATATATTAATTTCTTATGCAACCTGAATCCTGCAACATGTAGTGTTGTAATTTAATTTGACAGAATATATAACAAATATAAACACTAGATTATTCGATACGAACAAAACGGACAGAATTAATTTAATTGAATAAGCCAGAGCTAGGCACATCAAAGAGCATGATTAGTTACACAAAAACAAGCATTAGCTACGAAGGGTATATTATAATCGATCCATTTCCTTTAGTCAGATTAAGATTCGATTTTCAAGAAGGTGGGAATCAACTTTAAGGCCAATATTTTAGATATATACTAAAAACAATATTATCTTGTGAATAAATTAAGAAACTTAACGCACCAGGTAACACCTTACTTTTTTCATCTGTACTTTTTATGTAGCTTCTGTTTCTATTTTTTTTAAGGGGGAAAAAGAAAGAAAAAGACAAAAAGATACAGTGGAAGCCGCAGATAATTTTTTGTTCTCTATGTTGAAATAGAAAACTTGAAAAAGGAATGAAATTTATACACACAACATGAACAAAATCCAGTTATATATTCCCTCTGTCCCAAATTTATTATCCAGTTTGAGATTTCACTTTTAGTATGATTTGAACTAAAAATGAAAACTCAAACTGGACAATAATTATAAGACAAAGGGAGTACTTATATTGTACCAGCTATAGTATATGAATGATGACACTTAATGTACGTTAGCAATTTACCCCGGCGATCTTTATTTTCCACTAATCAAAACCCAGAAGAAGAGGTGGAGGATTCTGGAATTGATGGGAGAGTTGAATTGAACAAAACCAGCCTTACCAAAGGCAAGAGAAAAATAACAATATTCATTTTCTCTTACTATCTTACAAAATTATTAACATCGGAGTGTAGGAATAATAATGAGCTATAAATATGAAACAATTATGTAATGTGAAAATGTATTTTTAATATTTTTTTCCAATTAAAAAAACATCTTTTTATGTTAAAGTTAGAACGAAATCAAAATACCTTATAATATAGATGGAAGAAATTACAATGATACACACAGTTTTGAAGAAAAAAGAAAAATTCCCATCTTCAGTAATTAGTTAATCAAGTCACAAGGCCAATTCCCGACTTTGGATCTCAAAGAGAGACTTAAGATTATATTGGCCCACCATGCTCGGAGGCCCATTCCACATTAGTTCGGCAATTTGTTCATAAGCCTTCTCAGACGGATGATGACAATCAAAGAAGAAATAATCTTGGGGATTATCACACAACTCATAATCACATTCTCCATCTCTTTTGCCTCCACAACTGTAATTCCCCCTGTAAATGCCACTTCCACAGCAAGCATTCCTCACTTCCTTGAATCCTTTAATACCATAAAAAGAAATACATGAAGGAAAGAAACCCTTCTCTTTGTCCTAGGAGAAAGAAATCTATTTTATAGTAAAATTGAACTATTTTTCTGAAACTTTAAAATTAAAAAAAAAAAAAAAGAGTACCATATCTGGAAGGATTTTGAATTCGATCATTCACAGCTGTGAAGAAATCGAATTCAGAGTAGAGGAATCCATTGAGCTGCTTCTCTAGTTTCTTGAATTCTCTAGAAAGTGCCTCGTTGAATTGATTCACCAATTCTGCCAATTTTTCCGCATTGTTTTGAGCTCTAGCACAAGGGGTACAATCTAGTGGCAATAAGTTAAGTAACACAAATTTTCTGCCCCCGGCCTTGTAAACCTCCTGTTGTTTAGTAATCCCAACAACAACGATGAAACATCTAAAATGATTTATATATATATTAACTTACTGGAAATCGTTTGAATAAATCATATTATTATTATTTTCCCTTTAAAAGAAAAGTACCTTTAGAACATCTGTGAAGTTGGCAACAATGATATCAATGTAGTCTTGAGATGTAAAATTGCGGTACATGGGATCTGGTTCTGACAAATCGTTAACCCCAATGTCAAACATGTAAACAGCATTGGACAGCAATTCTTGTGTCTCTCTATCACCTATCCGTTTCCTCAATTGTTTCTCAACGTCCTTAAAATACATCATTTGTTCTTTCAAGCTGATTGCCTGTAGGCTACGAATAATGATCACGTGACTTGAAATATTAAAGATCGAGAAGTAACATATTATAGACGTAATTAAAATGGTACGACTAACCGCATCTATGTCAAGACGGAGAAATAATAAATGGTCTTTGACATCTTGCCAACGATAACAACTTACCTTCCCTTGGTGGGTTTCAACAAGAGCTCCGGCGCCGCCAGATGCAAAGTTGACACCATAACTGAACTGCTTATAACCACTTTGGAAATACGGCGGGATCAATGGCAGATTTGCATATTTAGCTGCCAACACAAAAGGAATTTCAATCATCATCAACTGAACACTGAACAATTCTTGGTTGCATTAGTTAGTGGCATTACCTATGAAATCAGGAATGATCCGGCCATTGGAGAATCTGCCGGTGGCGATTTCGAAGTGGGTTTCTCCATACGGCAAAAAATTTGACCAGAAATTGGGATTGGTGTCAATGTAGTTATTATTTCCAGGATCAAAAAGTGAATCACCAAACACAAATAGTGGAGAAGTCAACCTGATCAGCTTTGTAGAAAGATTGTTATTGTTTTGATGGCCCTGACGATGATCATCAACTATAAATGGGTTTGCAAGACTGAAATTATGGAAAATCAATGAGAGACCTAAACAGAGTTGCAAAATCTTGCAATATGGTATAGCCATTTTGGTTGATTGCTCTGATCTCTTTTTTAGAATTTTTTTTTCCCCGAGGTTTTTAGCTTTTTTTTTTTTTTTCTACATATCATTATATAGTATCCTAGGCTATTACATTTTGGAAGAAGGGGATACTACTATTAGGGGAGAGACTCCACACGTGTATGCCTTTGTTATGTGTCCTCCTGGGTTGCAAGCTGACCTCCGGAATTGCCTCTGACCTCCTGACTACAAGCCTGAGAGACTCCACGCGTGCATGCCTCTGTTACGCACTTTTTTGGGCTGCAAGCTGATCTCCGGAATTCCCTCTGACCTCCTGACTGTAAGCCTGTATAGACAGAACTTAAAAGTACTCTGACGAGGTTTGAACCTGAGACCTCTTGGGACCTCAAGTTTTAATGCCATAACCACTACCATTTACAACCCCTCGTTGGCGAGGCTTTAGTTTACGATGACAAAAGAGACAAGGATCATACAATTTCTAGCCAATTTATTAATAATTTAAAGCGGGAATATTCGAGTTTCAATATGTATTTCTGAACAGGACAAAAAGCCAAATTAGAACCTAGAGATTAGGTAGAATAATAGGTATAACTGATTAGGTACGTGCATTTTCTTGAATTTAACTGTTTGTTTTTCTTTTTCGAAAAGCTCCAGAACCTCTCGAAATACTATATTACTCTCTCTGTGTCCCACTTTAATAGACTAATTTGAAAAATAAGCATTTATAATGACTTAACGTAGTTTTCCATTAAACATTTAATATGAAAATTGAATCGAGTATCGTATCTATATACCTTGAAAACAAAAAAAATTTACGCGCCTTAGAAAAAACAAAGCATGGTAAATCAGCAATGCATTTTTTTAAATTTTTTTATGTATACATATTTGTTTGGAAAGAAACATTCCCTCCATTCTAAAATTATTGTCCAATTTAGATTTTCACTTTTAGTTCATTTTGTACTAAAAATAAAAATTCAAATTCGACAATAATTTCGGGATGAATGGAGTAAATGAAAAAGTACAGAAGGCTTTAACTTCTGTTACATACGGTAAAGGGTAAAAATCAGGGATGCACCAACCAGTTTGTTTCTAATTAAATAGAATGGCCTTCACTCATCAATCAGTATAATACTATAGTTTTCATGGTTGCTTCAGCGTTAACAAGTGCTGATTTGGCTTAGCCTATGTTTGGAAGGTTTTTTTAATGTATTTTTTTGTATTGGGAATATAAAAAGATATATTGAAAATATAAGAAAAGTGCATTAAAAATATAAAAAATTATGTTGGAATGGAATAGATATTAATTAAAAATTCTGAAAAAATTAACCAAAAAAGGAACCAAAATAACCTTAGTATAATCTCGCTTATTCAATCTTCACTATGTTGTATGCTTCGCATGATTTGACAGAATAGATAACTATAGTAACACCGAAAGTTTTGTTCCTTTTTTTTTTTTTTTTTTTTTTTTGAAAAGGAACACTGAATTATTGCATGCAGACAAATGCCCATATTCAATTTATAATTTAATAATCATAGAAGGATCAACGAACCTTTTGATGACAAGTTTCTCTGTTCTCTCTTTTGAAATAACAAACTTTATGATGGAATGAAAAATTGTACCACACGAGATGAACAAAATCCAGTTGTATGAAACTGAATGCTACCAATCTTACTGTGGCAATGCACTGACGATCTTGATAATTGACTATTGGTAAGAACAGGTGGAGGATTCTGCAATTGGCGACAACCGGGTAGGAGGCAGAGAACATCAAAGGCAAGCGTATTAACACATTTGTTTCCCTCACGGGCGAACTAACAGCCCTAACTAAGGTGTAGATTCATTTCCAGCACCAAACAGTTGGTATCTATAGATAACTTAGCTCATGTGCAGAAGAAAAGTGTACAAACAAAACTTAGGTCGTCTGTCTGAAGAGTAAACAAACCAAGGCGTCCCGAACTTCTGCTTGGAAAGCGTTGCAGGAGTTGATGTCAGTGACAAACCACATTTCCACAACCCATTAGAATATATTAATATTAGAACCCTAGCACAATCGAATTGCATTTATAACTCTAAAAGACACATCAATTATTGGGCTCTTTAGGAACGTTGAAGCGGGCAAAAGACCTTTGACAAGGAACTCTTTCCATCTTACGTTTTCATTAATAATGGACAGAAGAAGTAACGAACTATCCTTATGAAACAATCAATCATTATGTGATTCTATTTTGGAGGTCTGGCTTTTTCGCAATCTCTCGTTCCTGGCATATTCGTCCTGTAAGGAGGAAAAGCTGGTTAGATGTAGTAAAGAAACTAAGAGCTAAGGTCGAAATACACTAAAACCTCAAATCTAGTGAAAGAGCTGAGAAAATGAACAGTACTACCCACTGAAAAACTGGAGGGTTCTTGTTCCTCCACTGCAAGTTACCCAAATGACATGTTTTGACGATCCAAAAAGCAGAAGGAACTTGGACTTCAAATATCGATTTCAAAGTGTTAAAAGTTTATTTAGGTCTTCCGAGAAACACATCATGGTTTCCATATGGTAGAAGAAAGCAACTATTTGTGTAGACATATGTAGGAAAATGAAAATAACAGTGAACAGTTGAATATGGATGCAATCAAATTATTTCATACTACGTTGTGACAAGATTATGAAAAATTTAAGTGCAAGGATTCCATATCTTGTCTTGGATTTTGTGAGGAAGATGTATTGAACGATTGAGACGATACAATCTAATCTAACAGTTGGTTGTAAAGAGATATAACATTCTGTGCATACAATACACAGAATATATTTGCAGCAAAACTCTATACAACAGTTAAATTAGATTGTAATAACCCCTCTCTAATATTGCTTTCGGTTTTCAACCAGGACAAGACAGGGTTCAGAAATCTAACTTTATCCATTCACAGCCTCATCTAGTCATTCTTTTCGCTTTTCTTCCATACAACGCTATTATAGATAACTGTTTTTTCTACCATATTGAACCATAAACATTTCAACAACACTGTTAGAAATCTCTTAAGAAAAACTGCACACACGCTCAAATTTGGTAAAGTGTCTTCGTCTTATAAGTATCAGAATCAATTGAGAAAAATCAAGTCATTATCCTATGACTCAATTTTGGTGTCAAATCACAACTATTCATCATGAAATATTGCTTAATCATGTAAATAGAAGACGGTCTGTAAGATATCTACAAACTTATCGACTAACATTATGAAAATGCTATCGAAACTCAAGGAGATGCTTTCGACGAATTGGCAACTTGAACACGGACAGTGCTTCAACACAATAAAAGGAAAAAAAAAAAAAAAAAACAAACCCTTACATAAAACTAAAATAAAATTTATTTTTACCCTAAAAAACTGCAACTTGATTTAAATACTATATCTAAATGGTTTGGATGCACATGGCATTGATGATGAAACAATAATTATTACAATTCATCCAACGGTGATATTAAGGTTATCTTAACATTTTATAAACATACATCACAAATATCAAAATGTATTACAAACATAAACAAAGAGATTTCTTGCACTTCTTTCTGTAACCCTCCTCACTGTACTAGCACATGAATATGAGCAAAAAAAAGACATAATTTCCTACAAAAACAAAATAGAGTGACGTGTGTCGGAGATGGTATTATTGAACTGGTCACCCAAATGGCAATATGGTGAAATGGTTCCAACAAATTGGTGAGGTACATTGGAGATGGCCTTATCAATACTTCCTTAGTGGAGCTGGTGTCACCAAATTGGTGATATATTGGTATTGGAGCACTCTTGGAGAGCAAAAAGTTTACTAATTCATGATCCAATTCCCAAGAAGGGCTTAAATTCATCAAGCATGGCCAATCTAAAGGAAAATATGGAGAAATATAAAAATACAAACAAGAGAAAAGTCCTTCAGAACAAATGAGCTAGTTGCAATATATGTCCTGTTTGAACATTGAAAATAAGACAAAAGGCGTTTTGTATGGTCTAGTCAACGGCTTTAAAGTTGAAGATGAACTTATTAGAAAAAAAAGGATGATGCACCTGCACACCCGTTTGGTGGGAAGGAATAAAAAAAGAAATTATAAGGCCCAAAACCGACAAATTTCTTTAAGACCTTACAGGTTTACTGTCTCCCATGGAGATGACCTAAAGACTGGAATTGAGGACATCCCTTTTTCGACATGGACCTTTTATCTTCTGAAAAAAGTCAGCTAATGAACTACTAGTGGCATTGGCGCATTGACAATACAAAATGCAAGACACATGGTGAAGGAAACTAACTCTAAGAATGTCAGAAATCATTTCCTAGATCTCAATAATATAACACACAGTTGCGCATAATCAAACATGTGACCGAGTATACTAACTCTAAGAATGTCAAAAATCTTTTCCTGGACCTCAACAATGTATTGAATCATGCAAACGAGTAAGCTTGTAGCATCACATTAGTGTGTTAGCATGTCAGCCAACTCCATTTTTTACCTTTTCAATGTAGAAATTATCCGCTACTTACTTTAGTAAATTTTCAATTTGGAAAGATTAAAAACAATTGAGGAAGAGAAACGTCAATCCAAGTAATTACACAAAAGTTCTGCTGTACGGTGCGTGTCTATATCAAGATAACGTAACGGTCATACCTCAAAAGCTTGTAAAAGAGAATAACACTGCCTTTGATCTGATAGTGCTTTTCTATGCTTTTCTTTAAGAGCTCTGCAAGCCTTTTGCTCTGGTTCAAGCACTAGTTGCAGCTTATCCAGCTTCTGTAAATAAAGCCAGCAATAAATGACGAGCGTATACATGACTTTAGCATAAACCATTCAACAACTAGAAGAAACAAATTTGCAACACCTGCTATAGCAACAAGGTAAAAATTTTGTCAGCAACAACCCCTCCCGTCTCACTGTTCTTATTTTGACTACAGATATTAGAAAGTTAAAATGAACAGAAATTTTGCTGGTTTTAATTTTGGTTGCAATTGTTTGTAGAAACATATTCGTTCCACTTGGTAAATTCATGAAGAAGCGCACTTAAGATCAGGATCGCCTGTCAGACATTTGAACTATCAGAAGGGACCAGTGAGTGGTAACATTCAAGCTTAAAATTTCCTCTTCGTACAAATGCATCGTCCACTATATTATTCTTCTTAACAATCTGCATTGCTTGGTTGAGTATATGAAAGAAAAACACAGAGAGGAACTGATTTCCAACGTTTATGCTTCACCAAAACCATTCGAATTCCTCATCACATGTAAATTCAAAGGCAGGATAAAATAAGTCCAAAAAAGATATTGGATTCACAACTCTTTCACTGTCAATGACTGATCTCTATCAAACAAATATATGTCAAGGGTGTCAACAGAGTTATGGCTTATAATTCATTATGTAATATTTCCCTGTTGACATATTTTGTTCTACTAATGACAATACAGTCATGCAACTGAAAAGTACAAATAAGAGTTTCCAAAACAGAAACAAAAACATCCATCAAGTATCAAAAATAAGAAAGAACTTCATGAAAAGTGTTCTTTGGAAGCATTACGAAAAAAGAAAGGATACAAAACAAATGACCAATACATAAGCATCCTCAGAAATCAAATGGACACACAAAACAATAACACTGTTTTTTGGGAGCATTAAGAAAACGGGAAGGATACAAAACAAACGACCAGTACTTTAGTATCCTCAGAAATCAAATGGAAAAAATAATAACGCTAAAAGTTTCATGGTACCTGCTGAATGCCATTTAGAATCTTCTCCATAGATTCGACAAGCTTAGTTCGGCCAACTGGACTGGAGATAGCAATTTGAAACTGCACGAGTTTTTACATGCAACATAAAATAAAATCACAATTGGAAGCAAAAATAATAATAATAATAATAATAATCATAATAATGAGTGGAGAATATGGTCCGTGAAAAAGTTACATAGTAGGATGAAAAAAATTTAATAACTATGGTAGAAATTTAGTTATCTATGATTCAGCACAAGATCAATCATAAGCATTCAACAATATGAAAAGGAAACTGACAATCTTTTCGTTCCCTGCAGATGCCTGTGCAATTCTCACCCTTGGGTTGCTCCATTCAGCCACATAAAATTGTCTTAATCGGTATAAACTATAATGTTTTCATTGAAATCAAGATTACATATTCTGTTGTGGCTCAAGTTTTATAAACAATAATCATACTGAGATTCCAGTGTGAGAGTAGTGCTGTGTTACAAAGTTTGCCATTACAAGCATGTAATACAATCTACAACAAAACCCAACATCTACAGTATAAAACCAATAGAAACAACAGCGATTGTATCAAATTTTCGAGGTAAATTACTATCTCCCGGTACCTGAGAGCTTATGGAATTCAGTAATGATGTTTCCTTCAGCATAATTTCCTTTATCTCCAGCAACGCATTGAAGGTGTCATAATGTTTTCGAGTTTGTCGAAGTTTTCTCTGACGAATATCAGATATGTTGACACTTGTTAGCATGTTACTGATGAGGGTCATGGGAAAGTAAGCAAATTAAACGAGTAAGCATATCCATTACCTGGATACTTGTGTACAGCTGTGAAAAGCATAGTTCGTACCTGAAAATTAAAATGGGAAAAAAACAGGTCCATTAAAACTGTATCCATAAACCTGTAAAAAAGGTAAGATCAACTACTACTGATGCTATGGAAATAGTTTAAGGGGTAAACCAATAAATTAAAGGCTATCATCTAACAGGGCACTCTATGAATTAATAATACAAGTAATGAAAGAGTATGTAATGGAAATTCGCACGCAGTACTTATTTTTTAAAAAACCTATTTGAAATTAAAGTCCTACGGAGGGAAAAGGAGAGCAGTGTGTAGAGCTACATACTGGAGCAGTTCAGCTGGCACTGGTATATCATCTAGCTGTCGGTGTAGCTGTAAAATTGTCCTTTGTTTAGAGGCAAGTTCCTATCGGACATTGGAAAAGTGTTCTGCATTATGATCTGACCACAAACAAAATATGGCATCTTAACTTCCACAAAATTGCTTTGATGTAAACAAAAAAAGAAGGAAAGGGAAACTAAGTTGGTTGTTCATGTTTTATTAAAGAGAGATACTTGGATGGACACACATGAACATACAGATAACAATGAGAACTAAGGTAATCAAATAAGGATGCAGTAGAACCTCATCAAAGTCAACAATATCCGTTTCATAACGAGGAAAGTCATGTCAATAACAATAGATTTTCTCAGTCGGAAGCTAATTTGATGGTCCACACATATTTGAAAATGGGATTGCAATGGAAACCATAGGAATCCCTCTGCATTATATATTCCATGTTTTCCCTGGGGTCTACACTCGTTAGATAACCTACATTACAATGTGATTCAGAGGAAGGTCTCTTTCTCCAACATTCCTCCAAGAAAAATGAAACCTTACAGCTCAAATACCAACTTGCACGAAAACAACAATACTGATAAATCATAGTTCAATTTGCTTGAAGTTATTTTGACATGGTTCCCAATGCAATTATTTTGGTTGTCAAAGTAGAGAGATAATGAAGCAAGTATTTTTCAGTGGGAATCAAGCAGTTAAAAGGTATGTTTTCCAAGATTAAAGAAAATAAACAGTTATACCAAAAGACTGTAGAGTGCAGAGGACTTGACCTAAGCCAGAGATGCCTAAGTTATTTGCATTTGACTGTTGAAGCAATTCAAACTTATACTTGCAGGCAAAGATGATCCAAATAGAATCCCAACCTTCTTCAACACATTCAGTTTCTCTTTTGATTCATCCAAGCTGTGATCAAGCATGTCCCTGAAGATATCCATGTTTGTCTTATTCTGTAACATTCCCTCAAACTCATCGACCTCTGCCTGCAATAAGGCATGCTCCACAACAAAACGAGAAACGACTTCAGATTCCTGCTTTTCAAGATCCTGCAGGAACCAAAAATCATGAACTGAAGACAGAAATTCACCGGCACAGCATGAAAACATTAGGTAACCATGATATTTTTAAAATATTGCTAGGCAAACAACATTTTAATCAAGCAGTTGCCTAGCTTGTCATCAACAGAGGAAATAAAAATGTAGCTTTATTCAACTGCGTAAGATCACTTGTATCAATTATATGTCATCATCAGACTAATTTCCAAATAAACCATATCTTTTCCGATCTCCTTTTAATTTGAACAAATAATTCTAAATGATCCTCTTATCAGGGAAAAATATAGGTTTTCTATGCATCATCTTAGGGTGATCCCCTCCATTTTATCTTTTGTCAATGATACCCAACTTTTGATTGCCAATCCTATCTGAGCCAGTATGCACCAACATTCAGACTAACATTCTCGTTTATAACTTAATTAATCAGTCATAAATTGTAAACAAAAGTAATTAAAGTGCGAAGATAAACTAGATAACCAAATTGAAAAATTACAGCAAAGGCAATCCACTTAACACGCCCCCAAAAACAACCAAATTTCCTTCCAATACGAAATTGTAAAGAAATAATAAGCTGTAGTAGAATTAGGAAGAAACCTCCACTGATCCCAGAAGGGATTTTAACTTCCCCGTCGTCGAATCAGGGAGGAGTTTACCGCTTCTCTCCTCCATCAGACGCTGCGGTGTCACGGAAAAGAATCAGTATTTTCATGGTTTTTCAAGTAAAAATTATCTACAAAAGAACCGCAGATAAGAATCAAAGAGCAATGAACAACAAACAAAAAGATGAACATCTACATGAATTACCTCATCCATCATCACTATGTCTTTGCTGATAAATTTGAATCTTCTTCCCAGTTTTAGGAATCATCATCTTATCTTATTATGAATGCCTCATGTATTACCTCTTTGCCCCTTATAAAATGTTAAATTACTTTCTAAACCCCCAGCAAAAGTTTAAATCTTTAAGAGGATTAAATTTACCATTTCAAATATATCGAGGGCGCAAAACATAATTTCCCGAACTTGTAGAAATTACTAGAAAAATACGCCATTCTCTAGCAGAGAGGCCAGAACCCTTCCTCCAGAAAGAACCAAAAACCCTAAACGGGTTCACTCACTGCTCGAGCTTTCTCACTTCACACAGTCACACAGTCGAGTGGTATCTGGATCGTGCAGAAATGGCGACTATGATGGTTAGTTCTCCCTCCATCTCTCTTTTTCTATGTTCTTCTCTCGCTTCGTCAATGAGCCAGAGCACATCTGTTTCCTCCTGAGTATCATTTCGTTCTGTTAGGAACTGAAAAATTGTGGAAAAGTGAAATTTGAACTCTTGAGAATCATTGGAACTTCGAATACGTTGTAGATTTTGAATTCGTAGTGCGGTTTAAGTTGAGAAAGTGAGAATACAGTACGATTCATATCTAACTTTTGAATCCTTGGTTGTCTCCTAATTTATTGGATTTGAGCTTAATTATAATTCCTTGAGCAAGTGGTGCATTACATTTAACATTTCCATTTTAGTTTTCATGCATCTGGCCCTACTGTTTCTTGTGCTAGGTTTTCTTTTTTCTTTTGGGGAAGAAGGTGGGGGTGGGGGGGTAAGGAGGAACATTGTCGGGTTCTGTTGAATGATTTGAGAAGGATACGTGGTTTGCATAAATCAGTGCAACTGTTGATGTTGCTGACAATAGTTTAGGGTTGTCTGAAGTCTTACATTTTCTTTTTGTTCATTAAATACTGTTAAAGTGTTCAGATCTGTTCAGTTGTTTAATTGATGTTTTCCAAGTTCCCGGTAGCATGGTACTTATAAGCTATGTTTTTTGTGATCAAACAGCAACCTCAAATCATACTGTTAAAGGAAGGGACGGATACGTCCCAAGGGAAACCACAGTTGGTCAGCAATATTAATGCTTGTATGGCTGTGGCTGATGTGGTTAGAACCACCCTTGGGCCTAGGGGTATGGATAAGTTAATCCATGATGACAAGGGAACCACTATCTCCAATGATGGTGCCACAATAATGAAGCTTCTCGACATTATCCATCCTGCGGCTAAGATTCTCGTTGAGATTGCTAAATCCCAGGACTCTGAGGTATGCTGTCCCTCTTACTTTCTTTTACTGACATTGAACAGAAAACTTATAATGCCTAGTCATGGAGTGTGTCACGTTAAAAGTTGTTACTCATTTACCAATTTATCATAAGTGTAGCTGGTTTGAAAACCTGCAGAAAAACAGGGAGAATGGCATCTATAATATTAGTCTAGTGCTCTTTTTATTTTCACATTTTGACCTACAGACCCAGAGGCCAATCCTTTTTCTTGTGCACCTAAGAATGTGTAGCCCGGATTATAGATATCTTGTACATTAATGATGCTCTAATCATGTTTTTCATGGTGAAATATTTGGATCATGGTTAGAGTTAATACAGTCTACTTATACCTCTAGTGGTAATGTGAGACTTAGGGAACTATATGCCTCCAATAGTGATTGTTGTTTGAAATAAATAAATACTAGAAGTTTCATACATGTGCTTAAGCTTGTTATTTGTGAAAATTTTTTGACATTTCTATTCTGCTTTATTGCAGGTTGGTGATGGAACCACTACCGTAGTATTACTGGCTGCAGAGTTTCTGAAGGAGGCAAAACCTTTCATTGAGGATGGTGTCCATCCTCAAAATCTGATTAGAAGTTACCGTACGGCTGGTCAGTTGGTATGAATTCTCTATCCTTGTGAATTGCTTATGGGTTTTGCAGTAGGAAATGGTTTATGACTTTATTATGGCAAGTAATGCCACCTTAGGCTGGTGGGAAGGTGATCGGATAGTATGAGGGGAAAACTAAATTTGTTTTATGGTTTTGCTTAGTATTTGATATTCGAACTGTATTTATAACTAGGTTTCTAACTCATTATGGATTAGGCAATTGCTAAGGTGAAAGAATTAGCTGTTAGCATTGAAGGAAAGAGCTTAGAAGAAAAGAAAAGCTTACTAGCCAAGTGTGCTGCTACAACACTATCTTCAAAGCTCATTGGGGGTGAGAAAGATTTCTTTGCGACGATGGTTGTAGATGCAGTACTTGCGATTGGAAATGACGACAGGCTTAATATGATTGGTATTAAAAAGGTGAATACAAATTCTTTTTAGTGCTTTTTTCTTCGTATAAATGTCGCTTAACAATATTGCGTAGACTTTTCCTGATTATGTCACTCCACATACATACCTCGTATCAGCAGATATATGTGAACTATCTATTTCTTATTTGACTGCTGAGATGTCTAATTTCCTAGATGGGCAATTGTCGTTGATGGTTTGGATATGATTTAAGTTTGAGGCTTTAGTTTTCTGTAACCTTTTCCTTTCTTGCATGGGTGTTTGTGTCCAGCATGAGATACATAATTTAGTTGTCGACATCATGGCCCTTTCATATGGATTAATTGTGGATTCTATCTATTTACATTGAGGTTGATTTTGTAGGTTCCTGGTGGTACCATGAGGGATTCTTTCCTCGTAGATGGTGTTGCTTTCAAGAAGACATTCTCTTATGCTGGTTTTGAACAACAACCAAAGAAATTTCTTAATCCTAAGATACTTTTACTGAACATTGAATTGGAACTGAAGTCAGAGAAAGAGAATGCGGAGATAAGGTAGCATTTCTTCTGCATTGTTTATTTGAAGAAATTTCTTTGCTTTAAAAATGCTTATGTCTTGATCTTTTATCCTTGATAGGCTCTCGGACCCATCACAGTATCAGTCCATTGTCGATGCAGAATGGAACATTATCTATGACAAGCTGGATAAATGTGTAAAGAGTGGGGCTAAAATTATTCTTTCTCGACTCGCCATTGGTGATCTAGCCACACAGGTATCTTATCATCTGATCTCACTAATTGCTTCATATTGATGCTGAAATAAAATTTTGGTATCCATTGTGCTCTTGGGGGCAATTTTTATGCAATGTTTTATGCTAAGACTATTGTTTCTCAGTATTTTGCGGATAGGGATATATTCTGTGCTGGTCGTGTCACTGAAGAGGATCTGAATCGGGTAGCTGCTGCTACTGGTGGAACTGTTCAGACAACTGTGAACAATGTCATTGATGAGGTTTGTTCTTCTCTAACTTATCACTGTAGTTCGAACGTGATGAACATACGTTTCGGCAACTTTTTTTCATTTCCTGGGCACGCTGTTCTTGTTTCTTTTTGCTGATCTATTTGCTTTTTACCTGGAAAGGTTCTTGGATCCTGCGAGGTATTTGAAGAAAAACAAGTTGGAAACGAGCGCTTCAACATTTTCAGTGGATGTCCAATGGGCCGGACAGCCACTATTGTTCTTCGTGGTGGAGCAGATCAGGTGCGTATCTGCATCTACATATGTAATAATTATGTGTTTCCTTTGTCCTAACTTTTTTGTGTTTATTGGCTCCCAGTTTATTGAGGAAGCAGAACGCAGTCTCCATGATGCAATTATGATAGTAAGAAGGGCTGTGAAGAACTCCACTATTGTTGCTGGGGGTGGTGCTATTGATGTATAGCCTTTTCATCCCTTCTTAAAAGTTTTTTCTGTTTATGTTGGTTCTTGCTGATTGATGTTTTGGGTACAGATGGAGATCAGTAGATACTTGAGGCAGCATGCACGTACAATTGCTGGGAAGGCGCAGCTCTTCATTAATTCGTATGCTAAAGCACTTGAGGTAAGCATTTTTTCTGACCTGTTTTGTGTTGCATCATTTGCTCTTCTACATAACGGACCTTGGTTTTAATTAGAATTTGGGCCTCTTTCCTTATGTTTTACCGACTCCATCTAAGATAAAATCACTTAAACCCTCTTAGGAGATTTCTCAGAGCTGTTATCTTCCCAGTCACTTTACATGCTGCTATTTTGTTTTTTAAAGTTCCAAATTTTTTTTGACACGTCGATAGTTGTTCCTTTGCACTTTTGTTTAGTTGCTTAATAAATTCCCCATCCTATTTAGTGAGCCTTACAGATGTTTTTTGAACTTTAGGAGTGTATTTGGTAGGGTTTTATTTTTTATTTTCAACCACCACATGAAATGAATTTCTGCTGCCCCTTCTATCATGTTTGAATTATTGGGTGTGATGATTGTTAATTTGTCACCTACAGTAGTATTACTCTCTAATTGCTTCTTCCTGCAGGTAATTCCAAGGCAGTTGTGTGACAATGCTGGTTTTGATGCCACTGATGTCTTGAACAAGCTAAGACAAAAACACGCTCTTGCATCTGGTTAGTCTTTCTTTTTTTATGATGTGACTCGCATCTTTTCAGATATTTTTCTCTTTGATAATCCTGTGATTTTATCCATTGATCAAGTGATTGATCTTTGATCTATCATTATTATTATCTCTAAATGATTGCTTGCATATCAGGAGATTTCCTGTCATATATTGTTGCTAATACTGCCCTCATTAACAGGAGAGGGTGCACTCTATGGAGTTGATATAAATACTGGGGGTATTGCTGATTCATTTGCTAACTTTGTGTGGGAACCCTCAGTTGTCAAGGTACCTACTTATTTTTTGTGCTATCTTGAAGCAATTGCTCTTTTTGGCGAAAGAATCTTTGTATAGTGTTGCTGACTTTTGCTATGTTCCCTTCTTTTACAGGTTAATGCCATTAATGCAGCTACGGAAGCAGCTTGCCTGGTGTTAAGTGTGGACGAAACAGTAAAAAACCCTAAGGTAGTTCTCAATAGGAAAACCTTGATAATAATTTTTTGTGCCAAGAATAAGCAAGTTGTGTTATTAAGTTCAAAGCCAGTTTAAAGTAAATAATTTCTCCTCATGAGCATGATGTATGAATACGCTTTGTGAAGCATGTCTTGATTTAGTGAAATGTTGTACCGTAATTTGTTTTACTTAATTATTGGTGAATCTGTCCAAATGTGGTATATAAATACATAATTATGTCTTGTAATTAAATTTAGTTTGAGGTTGAGGAATTATAATTTTGGGGTTTCAGCATATGGATCTTTCCAGATGTATTGTTGCATTATGTGTTGATTTCTGTTTGCAAACGCCTAATGTCTCGAAATCCCTGATAGATTACTCTCATCTTTGCCGCATTAAGTGTATCTGGATTGCAATTTTGATGTCTTCTGCCCCCTTTTCTGTCTGTGTTTATCTTGTCATTTCACGTTGCTGAGTGTCCTGTACCTGTTTGTCTCTGCAGTCTGAGAGTGCACAAGGTGAGGCTGCAGCAGGCGCCATGGGCAGAGGGCGCGGTGGAGGATTCAGGGGTCGTGGTAGGGGAATGCGAAGGCGATAAACTTCATTCGGCCTCTAAAAAGCATATTCCTGGGATAGTTAATCAAAGTTTTGCATGTAATCCAAGTCTTCCCTTTAGGTCTCTTAGCTTTTCTTTCCGGTATTCATGGTTGAGAGCGGTGTTGTGTGTTGCCTCCCCCTCTGGGATTGAGTGATTTGTCCAGGCCTGACCATCAATCAATCACTATTTTGATGTCAAATTGATCTAATTATTTAGCTGGCTGTGATATATAGATGATATTGTTAACGTTTTTCGATTGCATGGATGTATTTTCCATTGATTTGTCATTTTTATTTTGATTTTAATGCTCCTACGCATTTCCATCTTGGCTGTGGAAAGATCCATAGAATATACTCTATGTAGTGACGTGGGAAGATTCTCTTATGGTGATCGGGATTCCCTTCTTTATCGGTGTCTACACGAGCTTTCATTGTGTATACTTTTTTAGTCTTTTCAAGATTTTCTTCAATACTTTGAGTCTTACATCAACGAACATAATTTTCAAATACTACGTGGTTAATGAAGAAAGAAACGTACTGTTTGTGTCCAGGTACAGTACAAGACGTGCAAGCTTAAAGAAGAAAAGTATCTTTAGATTTTTTTTCGGTCATTTGCACTGACGGGTCCAAGTGTCCAACCCACATCCTGGGAGTCGTCGCTTGTCAGTTGTCACCTATTCTATTATTCCCTCCGCCTCATAATTAAAATAAAAATCTAAAATTGAACAATAATTATGAGATGGAGGGAGTATTTCGAATTTCTGCCAAATACAAGTCTCCAAAGCTTTTTCGGGACGGCTTGCCACTCACCTTATATATTCAGGGGAAGTGTCCCTGCAATTGAGTTAATTTCTTCCTTTCCTACCGGTGAGATCAAAATTGACCATAAGTTGCAGTAGCCGGAAGGAACAAACTCCAAGAATGATGTTATCAATTAGTCGCTGCTGCCTCAACCCCAACCATCCTCCACAACTGAATCCAACTTCGACATCAAAGTCTTTATATTCCAAATCATCCCATCTGGCCTGGTATGCTAAAAGTTTCCACTTTAATTTTTTTACTTTATTTTTTTTTTATTTTCCCGTAAGTGATTTAGTGGCACATTATTTAATAAATTGAATTACTTTTTTTTGATACGGAAATTATCGGTCTAACCTTATAAGAAAACAACTTTTAACTAAGCTTAATCCAAGATGGATGTATGGCTTTTCATGAGCTTGAAAGTTCCATTTATCCCTCTCTTTGCAGGCCAGAGAGTCAGCTGAGTAAAAGATCATGGAAAAACGGGTGTTTAGCATTAGGCGCTGCTACTCTGATGATGATCAACATCTCTGATCATGGGAGGATTAATGTCACCGTGGACGAACAACAATTCACCGGCGGATGGGAATTACAAAATGAGCAGATGTCAGTGGCATCAACATCACAACAACCTGTGATTGAAGTGCAAAAGTGGAGTGACAAAAGAACATGCGCACCTTGGCATCTCAACTCACTTGAGACGATTGTGCCGGAAAACTTACCACGGCCGTTCACTCGTCGGAGGTGGCAAGCTGTTGAATCAATTCCCGATCATGCATCTTCCTCTTCTCATCATCACTTATCACCTTCCCCAAAATCGACATTACATGGAAAAGATGCAACTTCCCCGAATCATTGTTTTCTTTTGTGAAATTTTTACATAGAATTAGTGAAAATTGAATACCATGAAAAATGACACACTTAATAAAGTGAATAAAGTTATTTTAGAAAGCAAACATATTGTACATTGCATCGATCGGGTGTCCTAATACACACTGTCCGAGCCGGATTCTATAACAATGAGTGCAATTTAATGAGGATAATGATAACTTAGACTACTAGTACTTTCTTTCGACGTCAGAATAAGTGCCCAACTATTCTGGTTCCGAGGGTCAGTTCTAAAACTAGCATCTTAACGGGAGCCAGAAATTCTAAAAGGGGTGCGAGATTTACAAAACTAATTAAAAAGCCAACCGCGTAAAATGAGTAAAATGTATAATTTCCTACTAAATTTTTGTGTGTCTCTACTAAATCGGAAAAAATCAAGGGAGAGCGGTCGCACCTGCCTCTTCCCCTTTGCTCCGCCATTGCTTCTTAGATCGTGACTTTAGAAGTTGGAATCTGGAGAACCTTCAAAATGGTTTTCGTTTTGGAACTGGCGGAAGAATAATTGTTTTACAAGGATGAAAGTTGGCTGCCTAAACAAGAAAGGTTTGGAAATAATTAGACGGAAAAGGTGTGAAGTTCCTGATAATTATGATCAGACTATAATCATTATTACCAAATGTTCATGGAGAATGAAGTTGCATCTTCATTATAATTATCTTCTTAATTTATCGTACATAACTATCCGTGTACGGTAACCCCAATCAAACATCTCAAAGAAACCCAACATTCGATCTGTCGGCATTCTCCACCAATATGTTTCTACGGGTTTTTTTTTAATTTATTTTTTCCACCATTTTTATCTTCTCTAAAACTCTTTCTTTATGTTTTTCTTCACTTTCCCATGCACCTTTTTCAATCCCCTATTCACACTCTCGATCCAAAAATTAGCATTTAATTCACCCCCCCCCCCCCCAAAAAAAAAGCATTTAAAACATTATTGTTTGGAGTTTTCACGTGTACATTACTCATAGGCATCCAAAAATTAATTTGTACTTAATTGATACATAGAGCATAAATTCTCTTCTGGTTATTTATTTTTTTTAAAAAAATTAATCGTGGTAATATTTTAATGATTTGTCGCGGGGGTTTGTTTAAGAAATTCTGAAGGTTTACTATTGACAAGAACTGAATTATTCTATGTGGTTGGATTTTTAGTGGGTATTTTAAGAATGTTTTATTTACCAAATGTCCTAAAAAAGTAAAAACATAAAAAACAATCCAAACATAAGGGACACCAACCGTGGATGCCAAATTTCAACAAAAGTCTTACAAAGAAATTTCAAGAAATCCTGTCAAATTTGAGAATTGCTATATAATCTTCAAGTGAATTCCATATTTTTCATTTTTTCAGAAGTTCTATATATATTTCGTTAAGAAAAT